ATTGATAAATTCTTTGTTTCACAAAGGCTAACTAAACAACACAACACAATATAAACAAATATACTACCATAATAACAAGATAATAAACAATCGGAGGAACTTTGAAAATATAACAAAAGAATATAGTGAGAAATTCATTGAATTTATAGTAATGTTAAAGATGACCAATCAGTCTTTAAAATAATTTACCATTAGTCCTTATAGTCTCTGCACTCTTTGGTTTAGCTCGCATGCAATTTAATTTAATTTATGCTGCGCAAAATGCAATTCTGTAGGAATGGTTGCCGTGGGGACCACCAAGATCTGTATGCATAAAAGATTAAGGTATAGAGTTATAAAGCATAATGTAATTTTGGCAGTTAACTTTTGGTCTAAAAGTACATTATCCATCCTCAGCCAAAGTTCAATATGATTTTTTCACCATTTTATTGCACTGAGTATCATCTAATAAAAATCTGTGTGGTAGGAAAAAAGCAGCTTTAAACTGAAATTGTCTTTTGTCTTTCTTTCCTGATGATGTTACTAAATTTTGATAGTTTATTTAACTTTGATAGATTAATCATCTTTAAACAGTACATGCCTTGATAATAAGGCCCTCTGTGCTGTTCAAATTCTATCCCCATGCACAAAAAGTAGACATGGATACTTTTTTTAAGTATATCACCGGGACGAGTAAAGAAAAACTCTTAAAATACAAGTAACAATATAAATAATGTATATATGAGTATATATAGGACTTCTAACATGACACAGCCATGACAAACTGGATGTAGCATAAGTTCTTTAAATACTTGCATTAAATTGCAGGCAAGTCTACCTTAACCTGCTGATTTTTTGTGTAATGGACTTGCCCTGCTTTGAATTTTGAACAGTCCATTTGTAAATTAGGGGATTTCAATATCAAAATAAACTGAACAACCAACATTATTGAGCCTCAGGTCAGACTGAACAGAATGTCAAATGTTCAGGCCAGCCTGGTTCTATACCAATTTGGCACCAAATCCACAGGTTTGACCTGGCAGTGCTCTTTTGCCCACTATCCCACACCTTGACCTTGGTAAGTATATGACCCTCAAGTTCTATAAATTACATAATTATATGTTTTGCTGTTTTGGCCACCAGATTTACCTGGCAGTGCTCTTTTTTCCACCATTATGACCCTGCCCTGACCTTGGTGTGTGGATTTGACTTATGTTGCAGTTAGGTGCAGTCAAGTTTCGAAAGTGATGCTTATATAAACAGTTCAGTAAAAACAAATGCTTGTCTTATAGCATGCTTCAAATTATTTACTTAACTTATAATAATATAAAGTAAGTTGACCTGGACAAAAACATTAAATACCATGATAAAGTGCCATACACACATATTATAGATATTTACATAGAATTCAATAATGAAGGTTTTATGACTCAATATATACAAAATGATAGCAATGTAAACAAATAATTGGGATAATTATGCCATTTTTAAAGCACTTTTTCTATATAATGCTGATTATAGTTCTCTTTCATTACAAAGAAAAATTCCAAATTTAATTCCTATTTAGGGGGAACTAACTGAATATTTAGATACATGTATATCATATTGATTGACACACTGTTCTAATTGAATAATTCTCTCATTATTATGGATTTGTTACATCAGATAAACACAAATCTGATAAACACAAATCTGATAAACATAAATCTGATAAACATAAATCTGATAAACACACATCTGATTAACAACACATCAGATAAGCACATTGCCCTAATTAATGTTTATGAAAATGTGGGGATTGGCTCTTTTCTGTTAATAACATGGTTGAATTGATTGAAATTATATAACTTTTTGAAAATGATTAATTACATATACATGTAAATTATATTGAATATAAAAAATGGTAGGAAAGCTTTATTATGTGTTTTAAAAAAAAATCATTTAGAAACTTGGAGTGAAATACACTGATATATAATGGCTTATCAATGTTATTGGTCCATTACTTTAATTTCCTTTTCTATTGTGTTTGTATCTATCGTATAACTGATTCTACCCATGTGACCAGTGCAGACAAAGATCTGCTATCTGATAAAAAATTGTACCAATATAAATTGCGTTTGTTTTTAACACTTAAAGGGAATCCAGTGAGGTTTTATGACATGATGGGACTAAAAATATTTTTTCCAGATAAAAGGACCATTTGGAGTAGGTTTAGACCACTTATCTCTGTGCAAAATTTCAAATCATTAGCGCACTTTGTTTTTCCGGAATAATTATTCAAATTGCAAATAATGACACAAAATGAAAGACGTTAAAACGCTTTTCACTCAAAACGGGCTAAGAAAAGCATAAAAATATGATTTTCAATTTATTTCAAAGTATATTTCTTAACTATCTTATATATTTCTGTTTAAAGTGTCCCAGCTCATGTATGTAAGAAATTCAAATGTTATGTTTTTAGGCTTTTATACCTCAGTGGAGTCCCTTTAAAACTAATTCTTCCTGATGATGCGGCTAATACAGGCAATTCCATGTGTTCTGATCATGGTCTGCACTGTCCGCTATTTAATCAGTAAATATTTCGAAATTTTCGGTGTAGATTGATAAATGGTTTTGTCAATACTGAAAGATGGACGGGCCTATTTAAGATAATTTATTTATCTTAGTAAGAGTTTATAAGTATTCTTTATTCTGTCATAATATTTTTACTCTATAAAACAATCAAAATCCTACTTTTGACAATTTTGATAAATAACACCTTTATTGTAATAACAAACTATCAATCATAAATCTGCTTTGAAATTTGCCTATTTCTCTATCAAGTTTGATGATAAACTGAGAAGAAATTTAAAGAGTCGTTTCTGTAAAGTCTTCTTTAATTGAGAGCAATTCAGAGTAATATTCCAGTTTTGAAATTTCCGTAAATTTTGTTAAGTTTTGTGAAGCTTAAGTTACTCAGATGTTAAATTTATGTAAAATAGAAAAAAATCATTTTCTTACTAATTAATTCTTTGAAATTTAAGCTATAAATGGTTTAATTTGTACTGAGAAATACATTTGAATTATGCATCAAAACCTAATTAGACGATTTTTGTTAGAGTAAAATATTTTTGTTATTTAAGAAAACCTTAGCAATGTTAGTGGTTATTTTACTAGAAACCTTATTGCACAAACAATTTTCCTCTGGTCATTTTAGCTTTAATCAAAATTATTTTAAATTAAATTAAAAAATGCTGCTTTTATAATACCTTCGATTTTATAATACTTTCGATTTTATAATACCTTCGATTTTATAATATCTTCAACACACTTTGAATTTCTAAAGAAAAGGAATGATGTTTTGCTGTCAATATAGATTCATATATTATTACTACTTTTTTTTAGAAATTTCGGTATCTAAATCTCTCTTAAACGCAGAGACAAATTTGGAATTCCAATGTGTTTATATTTGTACCATAGATTCTATTTATAGATTTATCAAAACGCTGAGTGGTTTTATTTATGGAGATGGCAGGCAGCTCTTTTCCCTGGGTAGTAAGATCAATATAAAAAGCAAAAACAGTAATTTTATTTTCTCATATGATCTAGGAGGAAATATATTAGAAATGAATTACTTTAACCTAGCATTTCTTTGATGATTTTTATCCTCAACTTTTCAAACAGTTTAATTTTATAAGTTTCTAAGCTTTTTGAAATCAAAATTGAATCTTTAGTCAGTAATAAAGTCTGTGGAAACCTAAGTTTTTACAAACAATGATAACAAAATACTTTCATTGAATTGTATAATACGTAATTTGATTTATCGTACTTTCAGTTTGAATATTGTAATATTACAGTAATATGAACTAAACATACCTATAAAGGTTATTTAAATGAATTTAATTGTTATAAAGATTGTATTTATTTAAATGAATTTAATTGTTGTAAAGATTGTATTTATTTAAATGAATTTAATTGTTATAAACAGAACAGAACAGAACTGTTCTATTGTTATAAAGATTACTAGTGATTGTTACACAGTTATTAAGTTATCATTCAGGTCTTTAATTAAATACGTTTAATTGCATTTGAATAAAAATTAACTCTTTCTGAATCGCCAGCATTAATTGTTATTAAGTTTTATTATAAATTATTAAAATTTAGTCAGAATTAATTCTTAGTAAGTAACCATTGATTGTTATTGAGCTATCTATTGGAGAAAAAAAAAAGGAAATTTTTTTCTCAGGGTCTTTCGTTCCAGGAAGTTGGGCACATTCTTTATTTTTGTGTTCAAGAGTTTTAAAATTTAAATTTCATTATTTTAATCAAATGCTCATACCATTATATTTTTTTTTGTTTAAATTAGATGTCTGGGACAAATTTGTCAATATGATCTATGGTTAATTCATATTGGATTTAAAGATAATATCCAAGTTATTTCTTGGCATAAAATTGCACCGTTTAATAACCTATCTAGTCAACTGTTTTACTTACTGAATCTTAAGTTGATAGGCATTTATAGGTCCCCCCCCCCTCCCTACAGTGTGATTGTACAAATGTATTTGAATTTAGGTTTGAATTGTACATCAGCAAATAGATGAAATTGTTGTCAGGCTATACAAATGTGACGGCCGATTTTATAATTGTCAGACAACACAAATGTGATGGCTGATTATTGTCAGACAACACAAATGTGATGGCTGATTATTGTCAGACAACACAAATGTGATGGCCTATTATAGTCTCACAACACAAATGTGATGGCTGATTATTGTCAGACAACACAAATGTGATGGCTGATTATTGTCAGACAACACAAATGTGATGGCTGATTATTGTCAGACAACACAAATGTGATGGCCTATTATAGTCTCACAACACAAATGTGATGGCCAATTATTGTCAGACAACACAAATGTGATTGCTGATCATTGTATGTGATAGCTAGATGCTTATAATACTGGTGGATTCCACCTACCCATTATTATCCCTTTGAAAGAACTAACAAGTTGTTTCTTTTGTATTTATATAAGATATCTTACGATTGTTGTTGCTGTGTCCACGATCACTATTATTCCATACTCTCATTCTCAACCAGTTAGGTGCATGCGTTAAAAAGCACTGAGGCATACAGAAAGTCTTTTTAAACGTGTTCCAGAACTTCTCGCTAAACCAACAATATAAGATAAAATTGAAAGAGGATCGAAGTGCAAGGAGCAATACTGTTATATTTGTTATTAAGTACAAATGCTGGAAATGTTTGTCTGGATTGAGACGTTTTCCCACAAGCAAGATCACATACGGTGCTTCGCAAATGAAGAATACCACAACCACGCTAATAAGCATCATTGTTATTTTCATTTCCTCTCCGGTAATGATGGTCTGAACGTTGGAATCACTGGCGAGGTGATAACGAAGATAGTTTGTCGATCTATGAATTTCTCGTATCAGGCAGACGTTAAGGAAGAGAAGTAACGAAAACGGTAGCACAACCAAGAGGAAACAGTCTGTCCAGTAATACAGGTGTCGAAATGTTTCGTTAAACGCAAGATCCGTTGGTTCCAGAACTGGCACATCTTTACCTATGCAGTGGTCATAAAATGTATACTGTTTGAACTTAAAAAACTCTGGCACCCGAAATAAGAATGACCAGATGAATATTAACACAATTATAATCCTTGCCCTGATCACTGTACAGATTCCCATAGCCCGCAGTGGGTGGCATATAGCAATGTATCTTTCTATAGCCAGCATTACTGTCAGCCAAACGGATCCAAAAAGGAATGCACATAACAATATATTTACATAAGACATGATTACCCTATAATGGTAATGTACCTCTTTTGTCAGTTTTGTCTCAATAAAACTGGCAGCCATAATGAGTAAAAAGGCTAGGTCCGACATTGCGAGAGATATTAAATAACTGTTGGTAGATGTGGACATAGTTTTACGACTTAGCACAATGACCGTTAGAATTATTCCCACAATGCCGATGGTACAGATTATTGGCAGTAAAATATGCATGCATATCTCGTAGCCCGGCACTTGGTTCATAATGCTTTTCCAATCAATTTCATGCGCACAGTGGTCATAGGAACCATTGTAACTGTCGTTTAAGTGATAGAAATAATCATTATAGTCATAATACTCGTACAGTGATCCATTTCTGTAGATGGTCCCGTTTGGATAAGAAATTGTGTGTATGTCTGTAAAATTTGATATATTTGCACTGCTTTGAGGTTCAGAAACACCTGCTCCTGGCAGGGATAAATATTTATCAACATACATTTTTATTATCTTGAAATTTGTTGCAAAGCTTGTGTGTGCATTGGCTATCTTGATATTCTCTTTCTATATCTGCAATCAGTTTTTATGTATAATCCAAGCATTTTGATGGAGTTATTGCAAGCTCCTTGTGAATCGGATGATTTTATAGTCTGCTGCAAACCTGGCAAGCTCTTCAATCTGAAAACAAAAAAAATGTAAATCAATTTATTATAATGGCAGGTATCATAATTTAAAGTTATATTTTCTGAAGGAGGTAGTAAAAATAGAATTCATATTGTCAATAGCCTTAGTATTTTTTCTCTCTATGTATTAACAATCAAAACAGAAACATTTTACAACTTTTTTTTTCCATGTTTAACAATATTTCCAGAAACATTTCACAAGGGTAACAGTCTCCTAAAACACTTACTGAAGTCCTCATTTATCCATATTAAGTACTCTTCAGAACTGTTCAGAAGTGATAACAGTTCTGCTGAGCAAGTGAGAGTAAATATCTTAAAGTAATTAAGATAAAATGATAACAAAATCATTTGATGATTATCATGATGCCATTAATTTATGAAGATTATATCATCAGACTGGTTGGCCTGTATGAAAAAAACATTTGTTTATGCGAAACTGGCATTATCCTAAAGATGCAGTTACAGATTTATGTAAATTAAAGGCCTATTATGCCTCAGAAATGCTATCTTTTTTATTTCAAAAAATAAAAGTTTATTTTTGGTATCTTGCTATCTTGTTTCCAAAAACATACTCATTTGTTATATACATGATTATCTTTTGCATTTATAATTATAGTGAATTAGTATTTTGTATGGAAGTCAAAATACTACTTTGTTTACATTTTGCTTACTTTAACGATACATTACTGCACATTTGCGCAACTTTTTTTGTTGTCAACATCTTACATGCTCTTTCTCCATTATTTAAACACATAATTATGTTTGACATTTCTAAAGTATTAAAAAAATAATATGGAATGTGCCTTTAAATTTTGAACTTTTTTTTTGTTACAATGTTTGGGTGTGTGTTATCTTAAGACATATTGAAGGGAATTTAGAGAACAGCATATTGACTAAATGTGTCTGCTAATTAAGTTGTCTAACATTGTGCTGATACATAAATTATCTTATATTAATAAATTTGCATGAAACAGTTTAGATAGAGGTATTCGTGACATCATTGGATTAAGGGAAAATGGCGCTTTATTATTCATAATATCATACAATAGAGAATGACTTTATAACATGTTTGTTCTAAAGACTTGGCAAGGATTTGTTATGCTCTGTAAAATGTGGAAAAAAAAATGTGAAAGACCAAAAAGGGGCGAGGTTTACTGTGACATGCAATTTTACACAGCATGCATAGCATTTCAATATTCCAAATCCATTTGAAAATTGTTTATTTCAAAACTGAACAAAATTCATTAAACAAAACAAACTCCATAGCACAGATTCAGAAGAATATTTTACCTAATTTTGTAGAAAAATAAATGATATAAGCATATTTAAATAGAAATGTTCTGGCAATTTAAACGATGAGTCATACTGTGTGTGAAGCAAACATTGAATGTAAATCACATTTTGTTCCATAAATATGTTGTTCAAAATTTGAACTGTCTCTCAAAGTTGCCAATACATTATATTATAGCACCTAAAGTCATATAGCCAACTGCCAAAAATCTGTTAAAACAATTTATTTTTTTATTGTATTTATTTAGTCAAAGTTTGTATTTTAGTCCATTTATTTATAAAAAAAAATCGGCATTGACGTCAGTTGGAATAAAAAGTGAAGTGGCAGAAGGGATTCCAGAAATGATGCCAGTGTGTACCCGCCAATTTTTCGGTTACATGCATGTTATTTTGAGTAAATGTAAAATTATATAAATTTCTATTAAGACAGATTCTAAAAATAATACACTGATAGAATTGAATGAAATGAAAAAAAATCATATGCAAAAAGAATTAAGCATAATGCCACCGATTGATCCAGCGTTCATGATATCCAATATTCATAATATCCAGTGTTCATGATATCTAATGTTCTTGATATCCAGTGTTCATGATATCCAATGTTCATGATATCCAGTATTCATATAACAGTCCTGAAAATGGACAGAAGGACATTTTCTGGCTTTTTTTTTAAGTACAGGGCATGATTATTCTGTGTCAATTGTCTGTTAAGGGGTTACAAATTGACATCTTCAAGTACTTGAGAGCTTAGGATATTACATGGACCTAATTAGAGAGGACTTTATGATGTTGGGGTTTTTTTTCACTTGACTTAGAATGAACTGTTCTTCTGGACCAATCAGTCTGGTTTTAAACACAATAAAGTAACACATCAGGACAATTTCTGTTTGCTTTGTCCTGTTTTTCGTCCAATATAAGATTTTGATTACTTGAAATGAGAATAACAAACATCAATCAAAGATGTCCGAAAAATGGCTAAAAGCCAGTGTAAATACATCAAAATGAGAGGACATCTAATAATAAGGTTCTATAAGACATAATTGTACATGTCAATCAAAGTGTAGAAAAGATAATGTCTTTGTACATTGACACTTACATAATGCCACTTTAAACTTTTGATGTCACAAGTTATACCCCTTTTTACCGTGATTTTTTTTTCCCGAAAAATTGACATTTTGTTTTTGATTGAGACTTTATACACACTTTATATATCATTGTAATTTTATCAGACTGTCCCATATATTGACAAAATTGGGCCTCTTTAAAAAATGTAGCAAGTTTTCTATTCTTTCAAACTACTCTGCAAAGTCTTAAGTTGATTCTTTGTATTGAAAGATTTATGTCCATTCTACTTTACCTTATTCAGTCACAATGTTTTCATGTTGAAATATCAATTTTTTATTTTGAAATATTAATGGTTATTAAAATTCCTTTATGGATTTTGTTATAATACTATAATCTAGCTAGCATTGAGAGTAGTTGAGTGTGTTGTCGATCTTGGAATAGGTTTCATTTCTTTAAAAAAAAAACCAATCTGTTTATTGCATTTGATTAAAGTCATTTACTTTAAATATTGATACTTTTTAAGGCAAAGAGAGTTCTCTTCCTTCACTTAAAAAACTTGTTGACTCAACATCTCTTGATACAATTTAAAGAACAATAAACTTTTTAAGGTTTGACTTCATTACTCCTTATTCTTTCAAAATGTTGAAGCTGAAATAAATCCCTTTAGCAGATGATTTAGAAACAATTTCTTAAATGTGTTTTCATCTGAAATAATGCTTTTTCTTTTAGTCTGTTTCCTGTCAGGTTTCTGTGACGAACTGACATTTTAAATAAATACCAAGACTGGTTTTAGAGCTGAGATTTACTATTAGTTGATTGCAAATTTTATCCTAAATTGCAACAACGGATCAGACTTCCCTTTTTTTTTTATTGGTTCCCTGAAAGTTTGATCTTACATGAAAAAGGGAGTGTAAATAATAACCTGTCTTGACATACAGGAAGAAGAATTGTACAAGGATGTTGCAGAATAATGTCACATTATCTAAGGAAAGGCCAATTTTAATATTTTGTTAGAAAGCATTTACAAAAAAAGGAGATAATCATCATGTGTCTTTGTTTTAGGGATATTTAAGTTCTAGGCCTTAGTTTATCAGACAGGCAGGTGACTGATTACTGATTTTTATAATGTCTGTTGTTATCCCCCGCCAATGAAATCGGGAGGGGGATATAGTTTTGGCGTTGTCCGTCCGTCCGAATTTCGTTTCCGGAGTAGTTCTGACTGCAACTACTGGCTGGAATTCAACGAAACTTTATGGGAATCATCAATATCAAGAGGAGATGTGCATATCCTCGGCTTGTTCCGGTCAGACACTTTAACTCAGAGTTATGGCCCTTGATTAGTTATGCAGTATGCATATGGAGTAAAAATCGTTTCCGCGCTACTTCTCTGCAACTACTGACTGGAATTCAACGAAACTTTATGGGAACCTTTAATACCAAGAGGAGATGCGCATATCGTCTGCTTGTTCTGGTCAGACACTTTAACTCAGAGTTATGGCCCTTGATTAGTTATGCAATATGCATATGGAGTAAAAATCGTTTCCGGAGTAGTTCTCTGCAACTACTGGCTGGAATTCAACGAAACTTTATGGGAATCATCAATATCAAGAGGAGATGCGCATATAGTCGGCTTGTTCCGGTCAGACCCTTTAACTCAGAGTTGTGGCCCTTGATTAGTTATATAGTATGCATATAGAGTAAAAATCGTTTCCGCACTACTTCTCTGCAACTACTGGCTGGAATTCAATGAAACTTTATGGGAACCTTCAATACCAAGAGGAGATGCGCATATCGTCGGCTTGTTCCGGTCAGACACTTTAACTCAGAGTTATGGCCCTTGATTAGTTATGCAGTATCCATATAGAAAAATATTTGTTTCCTCGCTACTTCTCTGCTACTACTGGCTGGAATTTAATGAAACTTTATGGGATACTAAGAGGAGATTTGCATATAGTCGCCTTGTTCCAGTCAGATACTTATAACTCAGATTAATATGGCGCTTGATTAGTTATGTAGTATGCATACATCTCATTGGCATTTCCAGATTTTACTATTTAACACAAAGTTATGGCTCTGTTATTGCCCTGAATATTTATCAAGTTCAAAGAATATTACTGTTTATGCCATGATTAATATATAAATAAAGCCTTATGTCTTCAGTTGTTGTGTTAATAATAACCAGTACTCGGCGGGGGATATAAATTCAAAGAATTTGCTTGTTTTATATTAGTATTAAGTGATATTATTTAATATTTTTACCAGGGGGGACAAATGTAGTTTTATTGCTTGACAAAATAATAAGGGGAGAAAAATCTAGCAAAAAAACCAGGGAAATCAAATCTAGTTATTTTGCTTAACAAGGTAATCAGAAAAGTTTAAATAAGTTATTCTAATTGGTAAACAAAATATTTGAGGCCATCAAAGTAAATTATAACAGTTTATTGTTGGATGTCAAGTTTTGTCAAAACCAAGGGGAACTAATCCAGGATTTGCTGTGTGGGTTGGAACCCTAATACGGACATTAGACACTTTCATGCAAGGCAGTTAACCAGATAACAAGCTTGGTTCTGGAATCAGGTGCAATTAGATAGCACCTGAAATAATGCACAGAGGGACACCTGAGGTTTTCCTCCAGCAGTT